GAATTAAAAAAAAATCAGTCGATTGTAACAAGGATGAATGTATTAAATACTGGTAGTCTAATCAATATTATTTTTTTTCATTTAGACCCCTTATTTGAAATATTATACATATCTAGTAATTTTTATTACAATGTATCTTGTAGCATTGCTTACATATAATGATTAGCCCATGTAGTTCTACTTCCTCACATATATGTAGCACATACAATTTGTTAGTTATTGATATTGTTTCATGGCCCCGGGTATCAATATCTCAGTGGCTAGAGAATATTTTTTGCTTTAATTCATCAGTAAGATGTGTAAAGAATGAGGTTTGACTGTATATACAAAATTATTTATTTGAAGGTTACATTGACAAATTATTGAAAGTGGTCATAACTTCAGCAGAGAATCAGACCATGAACTCCAGTGGTATCATGCTGAACAATGTTCCACCTCCAATTTCGATGCTTATGAAAGACCCAATAAATACACTACTATCCAAGAAAAACTTTCAAGATTCTAAAGACATGGTGCTTTAATCGATCGATATAATGTATGTTTGGAAAAAGTAATCCATTGAAAAGGCTTTACTGTACAAGCAAGTTGAGTGAATAACGTTGATGAGTAAAAGTACCGTGGCCTATTTTTAAATCAAGATTTTTACTTAACACGTGCATAAAATACGTTGTACATACCCTGATTTATTTAATAATGAATCAAAATAAAATATGTTTTTAAAGATACTGTATGACATATCGCTTCAAAAATGTGTTTTCACATACTTTTAATGTGAAGAAAAGAACGGGGTTTAGATATATTTTTGCTCATTAATATGAAAAGGAATATTTTTTCTTTCTTTGAGAACAAAAATGTTTTTAAAAAACAGGATTTCATTGATTGTACATTGAACTCAATTGCCTTTTAAGAGGAAGAAGGACCATTTGCTTACAAAATACCTGTTTTTCAATTATATTCATATTTTGTATATCCCTAATTTAGTTTGTCCCACATACATGAAAGCAGATATATCAATAGGTTTCTAGACGACTTATTTTTGAGATATATGTGACAAATACTTTGCCCAACAGTGTATGAATGAACGTTTGATTCTCCATGTTTTGGTCCCATCACTCGGTCCCTAACGGAAATTTTCTAAGATAAATAAAATATATGTCAGCGAACATGTATCTTTTAAAATATTTTAGAGTATGAATAGGGTTGAAATTCGAAAAAGCAAGATTCTTTTGTCACATCGCATCTGGAGACAGAAATTTACGTATTTTTTATGACAACTTAAACAATAAAAAAATCCTACAGTCCCTGAAACGTTCTACTTTCCCATTTTTCCGTTCGCTCACCGTGCGTTCACCGTTCGCTCTCCGTTCACAGTTTTTTTGTGTTCACCGTTTACCGTGCGCTCCAGTTCACCGTTCACAAAACGTTCACCGTTCGCTCTTCGTTCCGTTTACTTTGCGTTTACCTTGCGTTCACCGTTCACTTATCGTTCAGTCTTTATTGTCATTCAGAACTCCGAAGTGAAAGGATTCATTTTTTTGATGGTAAGGATTTGCACGTTTTTTATTAAATAACAAAGATATCGTGTTTGAAGAATAATTATTTCAATGCAAAAAGTATCTACGATATTTATATTTCTATTATTAAAACTATTATGAAGCTGTTGCTTTATCCATAAAATTTCCCTGGAAAATAATAAATTTAGAACCTACATGTAAGTATTGCTGCCACTTGAAAAAAATAATTGTAAGTATGTACGACATAACAAGTCGTACGTAAGACATAATAAGTCATACGAACGAGATTCTAAGTCGTACGTACGACATAATAACTCGTATGAACGAGATACTAAGTCGTACGTACGACATACTTAGTCGTACGTACCACATAATAAGTCGTACGAACGAGATAATAAGTCATACCTACGACATAATAAGTCGTATGAACGAGATACTAAGTCGTACGTACGACATAATAAGTCGAGCTAGGTTTACACCATTTTTCCCTGTATTTATCGAAGTGGTAATTGTTTTATGAATCTTAAACTACATGTACGCATGCATGATAATTGTAAGTGGAGTTAACGTTTGTAATTCACAGGGGGAAATCCAACATGAAATTAAGCACTTTTGAGTTTGCAGTTATTTGCTACTAAACTTAAAATTATATTGTACAGAATGGTATACTATTTCGTCCAATAAACAGAATATTTTACATGCCTCTACATGTACAATGTCAGTACGAATTTAATTGATGCAAAGCATCAAATTGGCTGCAAAGCTAAAAACTTTCACATGCAGGAAAGCACGTCAAGATATTCAAAGCTGAAATAGTTTTTTAATTCTATTTCAGGCTGTTCAAAGGAAAATAAAAAATAATTTTACCGCATTTGCTCATAAATAGATTTATCGATGTTAAAAAAAATCATGTTCATTGATGTATAAGAAGAATTTATTGTCATCAAAATGAAGATGTAGGCCTGTCCGAGCCTCGATACCCTGGATCTTGATTGCGTGATAATTCTCATGGTTTCTGCAGAGCAGGCTATGCTGCAAACCGCAGTGCAAAATTAAAAAAAAAATCTTCATGATCTTTGTGTCATTTGAAGATGTAGAGCAAATTCAAAACAATTTTACCTAGAAGTTGAAAAACTTTTCACTTATTTTATTCACCATGCACTTTAACCACATCATCATTATCCGTAAAATCAAGAGATTTCTATTCAAATCATACACACTCTCAGGCTGGGGAGTGTCTGAGGTAAACTCTTTTTATATGACCATAAATCGTCGATGATCATGAGATATTAATGACAATGAAATTGAAATATATTTCAACATTTATTATTAAGTTTAAACAAGTTTTTAAAATATTTTGCGCATGATTTTTACTTGTTATAATTTACGAATTATTTTATTGAAGTAATAAAAAAACGTTTCATTTCACCATGTGCACTCTCTAACACAATCACACAAAGATTGGCCGCTACCGCAGCCGGTAATAATTACCTGTTTTATATGTATGAACTTTTACATAGAAGAGCGGCTAAACATATACATCTAGATAGAATGTTCTATCGTTAAAATGATATTGTCCTACGGACCCGGTTTAACGATAGAATTCGTCCCATGTATCTGCAATGTAGCAAAATAAGATTGGCTAATAAGCTGCCGAGGAAAGAAATTATGAATCAAATAACTATTATATACCACCAAAATGTTATTTCACGCCTCAGTATGACATCGCCTCGATTAGATTAAGCTTTAACACAGAACAACATTTTGTCTGTTTGAAATTCGTCTCCTACGTCGCCATTGTTGCGGAAATTGTCACTCGCGCATGCGCAGAGCTTCTGAAAAGAAATGAATATTAATGAGCCCAAAGATAGCGATTTCCTTATATGGAAAAGGGCTACTACGAACGTTTACAACTTTGTTTTGAAGCTTGCAGGTACTGTTACTTTAATATCTGAATGCTGTCAGCGATGCGGAGATAAATAAATATAGAAAAAATAACATATTTTGCAAAATAAACACGATAAGCGCCATACAAATTCAATAACATTAACACAGCTGCATGAAAACACATTCATTGATGAGGATGGGACCAAAAAATTACCAGGGTGCAACAAGTTATAATGGATTGTGGGAAAAGAGCTTGCGAAAGGGGTAATAATGAAAAATGGACTCCAACAGTTGCATAAGTTGTGGAAAGTTGTTCCATTCTGCAAAAAAACCCATTGACAAGAGAAGTTTAGCTGTAAAACTTCAAAAACTTGACAGGACTGTTAAAGATGTGCTGGAAAAGGACCTTGGGGTACAATTCACACCAGAGCAGAAGAAAAAAAGATTTCTTTGCCAACAATGTCTGTGGACAATAACCAGTTATGCACAATCTCATGAAGCCAGTGTCCAGGCCTTAAGAAAAGTTAGAGAAGCAACACATGGCCCATCATATCTTGCCAAAAAATTAAGGAGCCCTATTCCTACACCAAGAAAGATAAAGAAGATGAGGGTATTGTCTCCAGAAAAGGTAATATTCATATTTACAATGAGATTTAGTTGTTGTTTTTCTTTATTTAAGTATAATATCATTATAGTAAATAAATCTCAATTATTAAAAATCTGCTATCTAAGCATCCATAAGCTAATGCTTTATAATATATATATATATATATATATATATATATATATATATATATATATATATATATATATATATATATATATATACATGTGTGCTATTCATATGTAGATGTGGGGTTGGTGTGTGTGTTTGGGGGGGGGGGGGGGTTAGGGCATGGTGGTCTGAACCCTTTTGAATTTGCAGAGTTAATAAATTTCTTAATGTATAGACGCCAGGCCCTCACCCCCAAAAATTAGATTTTTCATGTTTGGAAAATTAGATTAGTTGGGTTTTTTTTTGTTTGTCAAGAATTTTGGATTGGAATTTCTTTTTCTGATTGGTTGGAACCCCCCCCCCCTGGAAACAATTATTGGATCTGAGCCTGCTATAATTCAATGTGAACATAATTCTGTGTCAAATTTTTTTTTTTAACAAACTTATATAATGCTCTCAATTATTTAGTTTAGATTATATATTTATAATTTTTATTAATGTACTAAGGCTACATCAACTACCCTTCATGGCATGTCAGAAGAAAATCAAGAAAACTTGTCCCCAGTACAGAGAAAGAAGAAAAAGGTACTTTTAATAAAATTATATTACACAATATAATTATTACATTGTGTAATACATGTTAAATTATAACAAAAATCATACAATGACTAAATTTCCTTTCCACAGTTTCAGCTGTTTTAATTTTAAATGAACTACATTTTAAAGCCTTTTATATATACATGTAACTATGTACTCTATATATATTATTCATTGCTTATAATCTGTGATTTATTATGATATGTAAAATTTAATTGTAGCAAGGCCACTGACTTTAAGTTACTGTATCAATAATGCATTTTATTTTGTAGTTGACAAAAGCTGGAGTTGTTGTTAACAGAGCTCTCACATACTTGAGGCTTCGGCAGTATCAGAGAGGGTTAAAGCTTCTCTTGAACACACGGACAGGAGCTGTAAAGGCTTTCTGTAATCTTATTAGAGATACTGTTCAAGATGAAATGAGGGTGTTCCTCCAGCAAGAAGGTTCTAATTTTGGTGCCCACAAATCAGTTGAGGAGTGGAAGGGGTTCAGTTGGGGTGACTTTCTTCTTGAAATGAAAGAACACTGCCCGTTATTGACATCTTCTTTGCTTGGATCAGTAACATCGAAACGCACAGTCGAGACTGTTTCTCTGAGGGCAAAACCCAAAATTTCAGCAGTACCTACAATCTGTACAGTTATGGCCATTCTGGCTTACCAAGGCAATCAAAGGAAGATGTCAAATTTGCAGGAATTAAATTCTGTACAGATGTGGTTGGCAAGTTGCAAACGACAAGTAAGTATTTTTGATAAAAACTTTTCAAAGAAAAATTGTATCATGATGAATCAATTCAGGAAAGCAGTATGTTATATGATTCATGTCACAAAGTGTTAAATCATGTACATGTATATAAATGTTAATTCAGAAAGAAATGAACATCCTGGAGACAACATTAATTTTGAGAACAGAATCGTTAATTTAATTGATTTCATATTACAGCTATTTGCCAAATTTAATCATTTGGGTCTGTGTGTTGGCATTCATGCTACCAGGAATGCTGTGGACAGAATCAGACACAACTTCGATTCAAAAGTGATGGAATGGAGAAATGCAGTAACCGATCAGTTACTTTTGCCATCAGATGTGTCCACAGCAGAAACCATTCCATATGGAGAAGATAGCTCGACACCGATGTCGGTTGACACACCAGCTCAGTCACCTGTCAGGAAACCAAGGTCACCACTGAAAATACCAACACATGTAAGCAGTGATTCAGATGAGCCAAGTAGTGTATCCAATATGGTATCTGACGTTAGCAGCGTATCATCTGACACTGATCATGGTAATGATAATTTTTAATAAAGAATACTATAGTATATGACAACAAATTAATTTTTAATTTGTATGCATAGATCTATAGATTGAAATTATTATGTTGACATTTTGTGTAGGTAAACCTTGTTACTCCATATGCTTTGACAACGTAAATCAGAAAACAACTGTTCGGCATCAGACAAGGGATAAGAAGAACAAAATGTATAATATGGTGCAAGCTTACGCAGCCTTGGATCGCATCAGTACATTGCACTTAAGTGATGCCTCCCCCACGCCTGAGGATGTGCTGAATATTCCCTTGGAGAGATGCCTCCCATGCGAAATGGATGAAGTGGATCTCCGTTCCCAACTGACAGTTTTGGTTGAACGAATCCTCTGCAAGAGAATTCCTTTTTTTCAAGGAGAAGAAGATAATGTCCTGTCCCACATCCCTCATCAATTTTCTCAGAAATCCTCTGAGAAGAGTGAAATGGTAAGTATTAAATTATGAAGTCAAAATTTTGAAATATAATAGAAAAGTATGTTTATTAATGCAGGCACATGACTGATTGTATATGTATGTTTAAATATATATATGCAGTATAAATGAAAATACATTTATTTTTAAGGTACTCCTAGGTGTCTTAGACAAAGATGAAAGCAAAATTGGAGATGCCATTGACATTGTGAATGACTACCATAAGTATGTTCCCCTGAAGCCTGATGGATCGCCATTAACTCTTCCCCTCCATGCTGATGGATTAAGTTGCGAAAGAGTCAATGATTCTCAGAATGCCCGCATCAATGGAACTACAAAGTGGCTACAGCTTCAGGGACTCATTCCAAACATTCAGGAATGGCACAAGAGATGCCTGCTTCTCCAGGTTGGTTTCACTTTGTTGAGTAATTTGTAATAAAACATTTTGACCAAATTAAGAATCAAACATGTTAGGATTGGCAGCGTTTTAAATAAATTCAATAAAACTTTTTCTATAGCTTTTTGAAAATAATTTTAGGACATGTATGATGAATTGTACTCTGGGAAAAGTTCAAGAGAAGTGGGAACCTTATTTCACCTGAAAAACTACTTCGAACACAGAAATGTTTCATCAAATGTGAAGGACTCTTTTAATTACGATGAGGATTTTTTAGAATTTTGTACCGAGGGATACATCACTTTGCTTGCCCTCCATATTCTAGGAATGGACACACTCCATGATGTGCCAGACACACAAGACAATCTCATGTGTTTACATGATACATCTAGCAAAATAATTGATATGGTTTTTCAATCTGCAATGCCAACTGTACAGAACATTCTGAAAACCTCGGATGAAATGCTGGATGACTCCTATCCCTATTGTGTGTGTAAGAAAGAACAGCATGGTGCCATCATGGTCTTCTGTGAGAACAGAAACTGTCCCAGAGGTGTTTGGTTTCATATTGACTGCATAGATATGGAAGAGGATGATATTCCTGAAGGTGTATGGTTTTGCAGTAGTGGTTGTGAGAAGGAAAAGTCTGCCAAAAAGAATAAGAAGAAGACTGTGGCAAATAATTTGCGAGACATGAAGTTGGATTATACCCTCCTTCTTATTTGGAAAGGTCTCTCTCAAATTTCAAGAAAAGATTCCATTAGGGAGAATAATGGAAAGATGATTATAACCCACTGGAAATTTGACCTGCTGCAGTTCTTTACCAAACACCACCCAAAGTACTTCTTGCTGTGCACAAGACTATTACTTGCAATCAACGGTGCGGTTTCTCCAAGACTACAGAAAACTTTAGTTTGGAACAGAACTGTTAACGTAAATGGAGGCAGAGGAAAGAATATTGAGATGGACCTCCAGATGGAGTACTTCAATAAGGAGTACAAAGGTACTTGTAGTATCATATTACAGTATAATATGCTTTCAGCAAAGTGCCAGCTGAGAATAACAAGTTAATTTCATTATGAACATAATTTATTTCTACCAACTGCAATATAAATCTCTTTGTTTTAACTATGATTTCATTTTAAACCCATATGTTATAAGGTATTTAAAGGCTTCTAATTGAAAAATTATAAAAATTAATATTGTTTCTGTTTTCAAACACAATATTAGTACATGTAAAGTTAAATTATTTGACTCTCCTTTTTACAATTATAGAAAGTGTTAAAGATGCAGCTGGTCACCTGACACCAGACACTATTGCGAGGCACAGCCAGATGATAGGAGTTGGAAAAGAGGTGAGCAAAGTTTATGATATCAATGTGAGTGGTATGTCTGGCCGCACCATCCATAAAGGGGGACAATCTGATAGAACAAAAGACATTGAGGAATTCATCAACATTTTACTTCCTGAGGATATCTTTACCACCCACCCTGGTAGACACCATAAAAGTTTTCCTGATGTCGAGCTCAACGTGTACCAAAAAGCTCTTCCAAAGAACATCCGTGAAAGGCTAAAAAGAATCAGAAAGGAAGAAAGTAAGAAGCTAAGGAGGAGAGAAAGGATGCTGGAATTATAGAAGGCCACTCTCAGCTGTTTTGGAAACTTGCTCTCAAGTCAATCCATCCTCAAACCTCACTGAAAAACATTTTCACCAAAATGTGCATTAACTTTCATTTGAAAAACATATGGGTTTGATTAATAAGATTCTTTTAATTGTTTATCTGTGAAATTTCAAAATAAGTGCTCTTTTGACCAAAGAAAATTAAAAGATATTGCGATTGTGAGCAGTATTTTTCAGGAATTTAAAGAAGACCTTAAAATTGTTTATGATAAAGAATTTCATTAGAGTAAAATAAAGTCAGTGTTATTAGCATTGATTAAGTTGTTTGTGATTACATAGATTTGAAATTCTGCTGTTTTATTTTTAATATCCTATAAATTGTTCGATGGTAAATTTTCCTTACTATGGCATTTTTACAATTGTTCTGTTTTAGTACAGTGTATAATTATAGTTATTTTTATGCCATTCCAAAGTTCTTTTAATTTTATTCATCTTAAATGTAGAATAATGTACTGATAATTCTTTGCAAACAAGCCAAATATTCAACTGATTTTGGAAATATATGTATACTGATATGATGTGTAGGGAAAAAAAGTGGGTTTTATCCAAAATTGAATTTTTAATTTTTTGTTTGAAAGTTACTCTTGAAATGTTTATAATTAAAGTCCATTCGCTAAATACAGAAATGATGCAATGTTATTCAGTCTTGTTTTTTTTTTTCATTTATCCCACAATATAAAAAATGCTTCTTCCCCTGGCTTTGGAATTGGATTGGGGTATGAACTAAATTTTTTGCTTTGGCAAATGTGGTTACACAAGCAGTTAAGTGTTATAATTGGTAGGGACACAAGTCTTCAAAGAAAGCTGTCAAACCGGCTTTAAAAATAATGTTTGTTTGCTCTCTCCTGACTCAGGCTGAAAAAATGGGGTCAATGGGTAAATTAGAATTTTTTTTTCCCTGACATTTTCAAAATCGATACTAAATTTTCAAATATATTTACTGAAATGCATAAAAAACAAATAATTGTTTACTGGGGGTTTGAAATTTTTTTTGAGTCAGTCAATTGGTGTTAGCCAGTGTGTCAGAAGAGGGCAATCAAACAATTTTTTAAGGATGGTCTCATACTGAGTCAACCCCCCCCCAATAGAATTTACTATTTAGTATATAACACTTGAATGATTTCTCTTCTTTCATTATACTGTATACATGGCTATTTCCATCCCACTTTATGTTTGCCCTTTCACGCTTGTAAGCAATTTTGCCAAATTTTAAATTTGCCCAGTCACAGTGTTGTTTAATAAAGTATACAGTATTCTTTGAATATTAACCCCTTATAAAATTCATCCAAACAAGGAAAGGCAAAAGGAACAAAAATTTCTCTGTAAACAGTATATGAAAGTTTGAACACAATCCAAAGAGTTTATAAGGCCAAATATACTTTTGCAATTGCATTTATTTTTTTAATTCACTATTGTGAATTAAACCAAAAATAAAATGTACAAATTTTTACCTTCTATTGTTTAATATACAAATCATGGCAGTAGAATTGTAAAACTGTAGAATTAGCAGAGTTGATATATAAGATGAAGGGTCAATATTAGTGACAAAATATCACCTTTAAGGAAGGTAACAAAAATCAGAGAAATTATATACAAATTAACAAATGTCTTTTAACTAGGGCCAGATATTCATATTGCATGATGCAAAACATTTTCTCCACAAGTTAACAAAGTAAAAAATGAAACAGTAGAGCATCTATGCTCTCCTTTTCAGGAAACTATCTAAGATGTTTTTACTCTTCTTTGAGCATTTACATCTGTCAATGCATTTGCTACAACATGTACATTTGGAACAGGCACATAACTTATCACAAGTGTCATGATTAGTTGGTTTGTCTGCAGTGATGGCCACGAGGGCAGATTCTGGGATTCCTTTTAGTAGAAAGTTTCGTAGAAGTACCTCTCGTAGGCAATGTACAGGGGACTCCTTGTCGACTATTTTCTTAAGTGAGTCGTCTTGGCATTTGTTTTCACTTCTCTTGAATGAGTAGCAAATGGCATATCCATTTCTTCCATCTCTGGCACACCTCCCAATCTCTTGCCAGTAACATAAAGAGGAAGAAGGCAGCCCCCAGTGGATAATAAGATCTACATCCTTGATGTTCACTCCCATTCCAAATGCTACTGTGGATATCAATAATTTCAGATGCCCGCTGGTGGAAATGAACTGCTCCATAATTCTTTTCTTGGAGATATCGTCTGTATTTGCATGGAACATCTCGACAATCCTGTTTTCTGGTATTCTTTCTCCACCGAAAAAAATTCCTTCTTCCAATTCATCAAGCAACCATGTGAACATCTGCTGACAAGTGTTGATTGACCTGACATAAATAATCATCTTTTTCACATTTGTGGGTTCTTGCTTGAGGTGATCTGGAAGCCATTTCAGTTCCTCTTCAAAATTTTCAACAACTTGCTCCAGATGAAGAAATATGTTTGGCCTGAAAAAACATAAAGCATCATTACAAGAAAACATAAGAATATTGAGTACAGTATTACTAAATATTGAAATTGTAACAAAATTAAAACAACCTTAAGTTGTGATATGAAATCTATAATGCAGTCAGAAAATCTTGTATTAAAAACAAACTGTCAGAAAATCTTACTGCTTTTCTCAGCATATAGAATACTTCCTATTAAATAAAATTATATGTATATATGTGGCAGTCAGCTGGGTTTGATGGCCAGTGGCCAGGTAGCTCGGTAGAACACTTGACCAGAGATTTATAGACTTCTTAGATCAGCACTGTATTCACTCTGTGTAAGAAATATGTTAATGTGTATCCATAATACCTGTCTGGCAGTGCAGCCACAACATGTGTATTTTCTTCAGTCAATCCTAAAACTTCAAACAAGTCTTCTTGGATTTTCTTAGTGGCAGTAGCTGTTAGGACTAATGTTGGTGCAGACAGCCAGCTTTGTAATGTGGACACTCTTCTGTAATCTGGTCGAAAGTCAAGACCCCTGAAAAGTTTAATTTTACATGAACACTGAACAGTAATGTGCCCAGGTGTCAGCTATACCTGATTTATGCAATAACATGATTTATTTCCTTTATTTCTTAACTTGCTGTTCATATTCATAGTGTACATTAAAACAAGAAACATAATTATAATTACCACTGGGAAATACAATGTGCCTCATCAAACACAACAACTGACATACTGCTCTTCCTAATCATTTTTTTCCATCTTGGCAACACAGCAGCTTCTGGTGACGAAAAAATTAAACTGCTACTTTCAAATTCTGAAAAAGAAATTTAATTGTTTATAAATTACATCAAGTCCCTCATAAGTACCAAATAAGCTAATTTTATACAAAGATGAACAGATTTCAGACATATTTCAATATTATACATAAAAACAACAATTATATCTGAATCACTTTCTTAACAAGTGAATTAAGTTTGCAAGCACTTGTGCATGAATATATAATATTATTAGAGTTCTTGGATTATGTTTATTTATCAACAAGTTCACCAACAGACAATTTGACAAAATTTTAATTGCATGATGTAATTAAGATACTGACCCCCACCACCACCTTTTATAATTTTTAAAATCCTTAATAGCATATCCTACTTCAATAAAAATTACAATATGTATTTTTTGTTATATAATATTACCTTCAGCTGAGCATGTGTCCAAAAGGGCTGTAGATTTTACTCCATGCTCTGATAAAGATTGCACTTGGTCTTGCATCA